CGTTTTTTGCCCCATTTTTTCCACCCAACCCTTTTCCCTTTAATCCACATAATTTTGGGAATTTACACTTTTCATATTCTTTTTTCCCTTCCAAAACTGATCCTTCAACATTATTGTTACCCCTTCCTTTGCTCTAACCTCTCAGATATCCGATTTAATCCCTTTTAATTTCCCCCACCAAAACTCCCTACCCCCTTCGCTTTGTTTTTGTTGGGGCCCAGGACATCCAACTTCTTTTCATTCATAACATCAGAAATAATCTTTTTTCTTGTCATCCGCACTATATCCACGCACATTAAAGGGCCCTTTCCCAGTTTTATAAATTTTTTCTTTTCTCTTTTTTATTAAATTTTTCTACGGAGAAGGGGGTTCCCTACCCCAATTGCCCCCGGCTTTTTTAGTCGCCTCATACGAAAACCCCAGGGGCTTACGGAGGAAAGATTCTTTTCCACCCCCCCTTGGGCAATAGAAGAAAAAAAGAAGAGAAAGAGTATTAAAAAAAAAAGGGGAAAAAACCAAACCATGTATTACAGTGGCCCCGGGGGTTTAAACGATTTTAATCCGTGAAAGGGAGGGGTAATTGTTATGCAAAAATAAATCGTTATGTAAATGAATTTTCCCCATAAAAAAAATTAATGGAAAAAAAAATTAACCCGTGAAAGACCCAAAGTTTTGAAAAAAAAATTTTTTTTTTACCACATGAAATTTTTAAAATTTTAATACAAAACAAACCCTAAAAAAGGCATGCAAACTTAATGACACTTACTTTTATTGAAGATCTGGTGATGATTGATGGGAAAGGGAGGGGGGGAAGGGGCTTTTTCTTCTTACTGTTTAGAAGGGGAATCCCCCTTCCCTTAGGACTTGAGGTTTGCAAATCCTTTTCTGGGGTTTTCCCTTCTTCTTTTTAAAGCCACTTGGGGCCCGCTTCAGAGGACTGGACTTCTTTGCACAAGATATCTGTCCATAGTGGGCCCGTCCTCTCGTTCCTTTTCCCCTTCCCCAAAGTGTTTTTACAACAAATTTTCAGTGTACAGGTTGCCAACACGGTTGCAATAGGGTGTGTGAGGGTGGGTTTTTTATCCTTTAAAGGGTTTTCCCTTTTAAGGGAAATTTGGGACAGATTTCCTTTTTTCTTTGTAGTAGGCAACTTCTTCAAATTTTTCCTTTTCCCCCCCTCGAACCCGTTTCCCCCCAAAAGGGCTGGCCCCCTTTCTCTTGAAGTTTATCATCAGTCTTTAGTGGTTAGTTTTTTCATTGTCCTCCTCCACCAACTCTTACATCCCCCCACTTTAAACCCCCAACCCAAAGGTCTTTCCCCAAAGCCACAAGGATTCCCCAACTGGAAACCTCTCAGGGTTAGCCTAAAAAACCTTTTAAAAACCCTTTTTTCCCACACATTTGGCCCAAAGTTTTTTTCCAAGCAGGGTTCAAGGTCCCCTTAGTCACTTCCTCCCAAAGCCTTAAACCCATAAAAGGGTTTTCCAATTTAGGTTTTTAAAGTGATTTTCTTCCCCAAAAATCTCTTAGAGTTCCCCCGTTGAGTTTCTGAGGTCATTACAAAGCACCTTTTAAACAGAGCTTTTGTGACAGTTTCTTGAAGGTTTGGAAAAAACCTGCTGGTCCATGGGGTGCAGGAGAGGGAGTGGATTAGGAGGCAAAAAAAATTCACCTTAAAAGAAGCTAAAGACCCCATAAAGTCGCTTGCCACGTCTTAGGATGGGCCCGGGGGATTGTCAAAAACCCGGAGGCACTTAAGTTCTAATTTCTTTTCAGTTAGGTAAAAATTTTCCCCAATTGGGGGGAAAACAAGGTGTAACCGTTATAGAAAAATTTCCCCAGTGACCCCTGCCTTTCTGTTTTTCCCTTTCCCCGAAAACACAAAATTTTCCTTTAGGACATTCTTTTGCCTGAAACGCTCTGGGAGTTTCAAGAAATGATACACTAATAAAAGGGTTCACTTTGCAATCACCAAATAGCATTTGGGAACATGAGAAAAAGGAAGGGCCCGTTTTCATTTGGCTTTTTTTCCTGGGGAAATGCCTTTTCCTCCTGAGTTTAAAGTAGGTCCCGCTTGGCAAATTTTTTTCCAGAACAGGGCCCTGTTTCATCACAATTAAAAACTTGTTAGGTTTCAGTCCTTCAGTTTCTATGTACTCCTTGAATTTCCTTTCACATTTTTTTTAGCGCTTTGTGGCCGAAAATGGGAGCCTACCATGCCTTTTTCAACTTGGTGCCCTACGTTCTTTTAAAATTTTCAAACCAAACCCTTTTCTGGCCTTAAATTCACTCACATCACACTAGTTGCCCGGCATTTTTTTAATTAAATTTCCCCATGCAACTTCCTAGCCTTTTCACATATGATGCTTGAGAGACGCTTTTCCCGTAGCTGTTTTTTTATTTATCCACACCAATAAGAGTCTCCCAACAAACTTCCATCACTTGCGAAACTTTTTTTTCGAAAAAACAGTTAAAACCCTTTTTTCAAGAAACCCAAATTCCTTGATTGTTTTTTTTGGTGCCCACCCAAAAGTAGCGATGGTTGATTGGGGTTTCCCTTTTTAAAATTGGGTAGGTCGGCGATACGCACTCCACTTTTTATTATTTAATGATCTCTTTCTTCATTTCAATGGGAATTCTTACCCTTAAATTTGGGGTCGGTTGGGGACTAGAAGCTTTCTTGGGGCCCATGGTCACTTATTTTCCAGAAACGCACCGAAAACACTGTAATAATACGAAATATTCCGAGTGTATGCTTGGATGTTACCGCGGAGGCTGGCTGGTAAACAATGGCACGGGCGGCACATGTGAGGCTGGCTGAGGGCGCACATTGGACGCGTCTCGGACGAAAATCGGTGAGCGGGTTTTTAATCGGTATGCGCGGCAAAAATTTTGCGATTAAAGTAAGCGGTATGCGAAATAATCGCTATGTGATGCCATCGTTATGCGGGGGTCCACTGTATATATATATATATATATGCATGTGCGTGTCTGTGAAGTGTGACCAAAGTGTAAGTAGGAGTAGCAAGATATCCCTGGATTTTGCCTGTTATTTCAGAAGTCTATTATATCGAGGTCCAAGGCCAAAATCTGAAGTGGTGCCCCAGTGTCCAAGAATTTAAAAAAAAAAAATTGTTATTTTTTCTTATGAAATGGTAGAGAATCTTTTTGTGAAGGTAATAAAACAAAAAGTACGAAATTTGATGGAAAATTGACAAAATTATGCTCTTGCGAATTTTGATGTGTCAGCTATATTTACGAATCAGCGATTTTTGCCGACTTTAACTCCTATTTTAATCAAATTACATTATTCCAGTCGACCAAATTCTTAGCTATTTCACTAGTATTACTTCTATTCTATCGACTGAGCACAAGAAGTCGCCATGTCAACTGTTTCAACTACAAAATAAAGTGATCGGAAATTGGTAATTTAGCCAATTTAACACAAAGTTCAAAATATTCCAATTTCAAAATAGGGTCCAGAATAAACAATGTAGGTATTCCTGGCACTAAACTAACATTTCCTCTGTTCATTAGTTATGTTTTGAGGCTTTACAAATAAATTCCATTTTGATTTTTTCATTCACATAATGAATTTTTATCACACCAAAAATAAAGATTTACTGTTATGCAATATTGTAATAATTGTATAAATATCATCACCACATTTGTTAATGTATATTAGACCCACCAGCTGGCGTGTATTAGACATGTGACGTCGTTTGTTTACTGTTGAACATCGGCAAAAATTTAACATTTCCGCTACTTTGAGCTCAGTTTCAAACCATTTCCAGTACTAAAACCAATCAAAATCATCTCTATTTCTGTAATATGTCTTCCTTTCTATCAAATGAGACCAAGAAAATTTCAAATACAACTATAAAAAACATACGAGAAAACACTGCAAAGTCGCTGTTTTAATCGAAAATCACGGTCTCAGTTTTTTTTCTCTCATTATGTACTGTGTGCTGCAGGATTTGTTTTATGTGGTGCACACATACCACATAAATGTATTCTCTCATATCTAGGCTCAAATTTACCACTCCCAGTTTATCAGAGTGAGCTGAGCTTATGGCGTAGATCTACGGTTTGGACCCTGAACGTAAAGCTGTAGATCTACGGTTTGGACCCTGAACATAAAGCTGTAGATCTATGGGACGGACCCTGAAAGGGTTAAGCGTATCACAGGATGGTTTATTCATCATTGTTAATCTAGACTCATATCAGTGGTACTTGAGGAGAAATTAAGTAATTTAATTCAGTACAAAAATAATATAGTTTACGTGTAATAAAACATTGTTAAGTACAATAGAAAGCACTAATATGCAGTGTATTTCAGGCAGACTAATCCAAATGCTTAAAACTTTACAACTGGACATAGACTATTAAGTAAGATTTCTTATGCATTTAACTACAATCATATGTATAATAAGAAAGATAAATAATGAACAAATGGAATATGTACACAATTGTACAGTGGTACCTGGAGTTTCGAACTTAATTCGTTCCAGAAGGCTGTTTGAGTGCCGTTACCAAACGAATTTGTTCCCATAAGGAATAATGTAAACTAGATTAGTCCATTTCCAACTCCCAAAAATGCACTTACAAAAGCACTGACAAAAATACACTTGCATAATTGTTCGAGTTGGGAGCTGTTTGAAACTTGAGGTACCACTGTACTTGTGAATTTTTAGTGACTCTCTGTTTACATATTGAGTCGTAGGTGCTGTTTCTTGAAATATTTTCATGTACAGGTAATACTTTTTTATTCTCTCCATGTGTGTGCCTTTTAATACAATAATAGCAGGAATTTACAGTGTTTGTGCTTCAAACATCAGTGGTATATAATACTGACAAACTGAAGAATTAGACACATGTTCAACATCTACTTAATAAAGCTTCCTGGTAGTTGTGCATGTGTTTAATTCTTCATTGCTTTCAGTTGTTTAACAGATATTCCACATGAGCAGATAAACTATAGTTTTATTTGTACTAAACAGCTGAGCGATGATGACACATTACAAGAACAGTGTGGTACTAGTACTGGACTTGTACAGATCCAGTTTGTTGTGAAACCGGAGGATTCTGGAGGCCGCATTGATATTTTGGACGTCTTGAAACCAAACGAAGGTAATGCATATCTGGAAGCTACCTTTCACGTGTTTATGGTCATTCTAAAATATTGGTTTTATTGGCAAATTTTTTTTATTACATTTTTTTTAGGTAGGGAACTATTGTCTGAGCAAAGCTCAGACCTCTACAACACAATTGTCCTCAAAGATTTGTTAAGTTACTCTATGAATTAACCTTTAAACTGTCCAAATGTAGATCTACATTTTTGCACGTAGCACTCTGACCTTGATTTTCTCCATTTGAAAGCATGTAAAAAAACAGATCTATGTTCGGAGCTCTACGTGAGTGAACGCAGATCTACATTTGGACAGTTTAAAGGTTTAAGAAAGATCCTGGACTTCACCTTACGAAACAGGCAAAGCAAATGCGATAGTAACTATGGACAAGGTAGATTATAGTGGAAAAAATAAAATTTTTTTAGAAGACAGGGGTACTGACTTGCCCGTTAATGGTCCAAGGTGGACCAGAACATCATAAATTTCAGTCTACTGTGTACAGGTTATTTGTGTATTCTTCCAATCAAGGTATTGTGCCTTTTTTATTCTTCATGAAGACAATCCAGTAGTTACTTGCACTAAAGATTATTTCTGTACAGTGGACCCCCGGTTAACGATATTTTTTCATTCCAGTAGTATGTTCAGGTGCCAGTACTGACCGAATTTGTTCCCATAAGGAATATTGTGAAGTAGATTAGTCCATTTCAGACCCCCAAACATACACGTACAAACGCACTTACATAAATACACATACATAATTGGTCGCATTCGGAGGTAATCATTATGCGGGGGTCCACTGTACTTTAACGTTCCATCTTAGGAATACTAGAGGGTTTTTGATGTGCTTCTAGTATGTTATAGGTTGGCCCGTTGTAAGATCTCTTTACTCTTGCATCTTTTGCTGTAGTCTCCCCTCATGGGAGGTTCCTTGATGCTGGTGAGGGGCTCTTGATCTAGGGAGTTGGATCTGTGCTCCAGTTCCCTGAATTGAGCCTGAATACCTTCCACCCCCCCACATGTGCTGTATAATCCTACAGGTTTAGCGCTCCCCATAATTATCATAATAATAATTTGCTGTAGTCTTCAAGTTTGTTCATGAATTTTTGAGAGTGAGCGAAAGTGATTATTCTGACTTCAGAGTGACTGGGTACTGCCGCTCCCAACTCTGGAACTACACAGCTCCACATCTCATCATCTTACTTTCCTCGGAAAGTACAGTGGTCCCCCGGTTAACGAACTTTTTTCATTCCAGTAGTATGTTCAGGTGCCAGCACTGACCGAATTTTTTCCCATAAGGAATATTGTGAAGTAGATTAGTCCATTTCAGACCCCCAAACATACACGTACAAACGCACTTACATAAATACACTTACATAATTGGTCGCATTTGGAGGTGATCGTTAAGCGGGGGTCCACTGTAGTTAGAGTTCTCTGTTCAGTTACTGGATTGGGAGGATGAGTCTGTTGTTTAGAAGTGATTTCAATAATTTTATGTATTCTGATCAGTTTGTGGAACCATTCAGATGAAGACCTCTGACAGGGTATTTAAATGCTGAAAACTTGAGTTCAGGGTCACTGTGTATGTGCATAAACTGAATAATTACCATATTGCACAGCTTATAAGACTTGTTTTAGTTTCAATGGCTCGGCATCGGACATAACTGGGAGAGTTACAGCCCACCTCACACCCCAGACTTATTGCTCCCGTCACTGACCTTCAGTTTATAGGATACAGGCTCATTTTTTGGGGGGACATTTTATGGAAAAAATGCATCTAATAAGCCTCGAAATACGGTATGTAAACTTTAATAGTAAGAGGATAAGAGCAGTGAGAAACAGGAATAAAACAATGGTGGGTATCAAAAGAAAAAATATATACAGTGGAACCTCAAAAATCGAACTTTCTTCGGTTCCAGAAGGCTGTTCGAGTGCCTTTACCGAATGAATTTATTCCCATCAGGAATAATGTAAATTAGATTAGTCCATTTCAGACCCTCAAAAATACACTTATAAAAGCACTTAAAAAAGTACACTTACATAATTGGTTGTGTTGGGAGCAGTTCGATTTTTGAAGTTCCACTGTATATATACGAGTGCTGTGATTAGAGGTTGTGATTCTTAAGTTATTTGAGGGACACTGTAAAAATATATGCATTATATATTATGGTTATACAGTGTGAAAAAAATATAGACAAGTGGTAAATGGTGTTGTTAATGTAACTCAGCACTGTATGACCCTTGTTGGTTTAGTGCTTTCTTTGATTATAATAATAATGTTAATGAAATTGATACAATGAGAGGCACAAATGACTTTCCAGCAAAAAATTTCTACTTAACTGAAGATCATCGATTTAGTTTGAAATAATAAGTCATATTTTTAAAACTCTACCATTTGTTTATTAGCTGCCTTTCTTATTATACATATAATTGTAGTTCTTCTTCTTTCAACAAACCAGCCGTATCCCACCGAGGCGGGGTGGCCCATAAAGAAAAACAAAAGTTTCTTTTTAAATTTAGTAATTTATACGGGAGAAGGTGTTACTAGCCCCTTGCTCCTGGCATTTTAGTCGCCTCTTACGATACGCATGGCTTATGGAGGAAGAATTCTGTTCCACTTCCCCATGGAGATAAGAGGAAATAAACAAGAACAAGAACTAGTAAGTAAATAGAAGAAAACCCAGAGGGGTGTGTGTATATATGCTTGTACATGTATGTGTAGTGTGACCTAAGTGTAAGTACAGTGGACCCCCGGTTAACGATATTTTTTCACTCCAGAAGTATGTTCAGGTGCCAGTACTCACCGAATTTGTTCCCATAAGAAATATTGTGAAGTAGATTAGTCCATTTCAGACCCCCAAACATACACGTACAAACGCACTTACATAAATACACTTACATAATTGGTCACATTCAGAGGTAATCGTTATGCGGGGGTCCACTGTAGATGTAGCAAGACGTACCTGAAACCTTGCATGTTTATGAGACAGAATAATGGACACCAGCAATCCTTCCATCATGTAAAACTATTACAGGCTTTCGTTTTACACTCGCTTGGCAGGACAGTAGTACCTCACTGGGCGGTTGCTGTCTACCAACCTACTACCTAGAATAACTGTAGTTAACTGCATATATTATCATAGCATGCATGAGTGTGTTAGATAGGAGTGAGTGGAGACAAATGGTTTTTATAACTTGATGTGGTGTTGGAGTGTGAGCAAGGTAACATTTATGAAGGGATTCAGGGAAACTAGTAGGCCGGACTTGAGTCCTGGAGGTGGAGAGTACAGTGCCGGCACTCTGAAGGAGGGGTGTTAATGTTGCAGTTTTATAACTGTAGTGTAAGTGTACCTCTGGCAAGACAGTGATGGAATGAATGATGATGAAAATATTTCTTCTTTTTCAGGTCACCCTGCCTTGGTGGGAAATGGCCGATGTGTTAATAAAAAAATAAATTATTGTACTTAATAATCTAATCTACAGTGGACCCCCGGTTAACGATATTTTTTCACTCCAGAAGTATGTTCAGGTGCCAGTACTGACCGAATTTGTTCCCATAAGAAATATTGCAATGTAAAAAGAGAGCAAATGAGAGAGTGGGTGAGATGTTATCAACAAATTTTGTTGAAAATAAGAAAAAGTTTTGGAGTGAGATTAACAAGTTAAGAAAGCCTAGAGAACAAATGGATTTGTCAGTTAAAAATAGGAGAGGAGAGTTATTAAATGGAGAGTTAGAGGTATTGGGAAGATGGAAGGAATATTTTGAGGAATTGTTAAATGTTGATGAAGATAGGGAAGCTGTGATTTCGTGTATAGGGCAAGGAGGAATAACATCTTGTAGGAGTGAGGAAGAGCCAGTTGTGAGTGTGGGGGAAGTTCGTGAGGCAGTAGGTAAAATGAAAGGGGGTAAGGCAGCCGGGATTGATGGGATAAAGATAGAAATGTTAAAAGCAGGTGGGGATATAGTTTTGGAGTGGTTGGTGCAATTATTTAATAAATGTATGGAAGAGGGTAAGGTACCTAGGGATTGGCAGAGAGCATGCATAGTTCCTTTGTATAAAGGCAAAGGGGATAAAAAGAGAGTGCAAAAATTATAGGGGGATAAGTCTGTTGAGTGTACCTGGTAAAGTGTATGGTAGAGTTATAATTGAAAGAATTAAGAGTAAGACGGAGAATAGGATAGCAGATGAACAAGGAGGCTTTAGGAAAGGTAGGGGGTGTGTGGACCAGGTGTTTACAGTGAAAATATAAGTGAACAGTATTTAGATAAGGCTAAAGAGGTCTTTGTGGCATTTATGGATTTGGAAAAGGCGTATGACAGGGTGGATAGGGGGGCAATGTGGCAGATGTTGCAAGTGTATGGTGTAGGAGGTAGGTTACTGAAAGCAGTGAAGAGTTTTTTACGAGGATAGTGAGGCTCAAGTTAGAGTATGTAGGAAAGAGGGAAATTTTTTCCCAGTAAAAGTAGGCCTTAGACAAGGATGTGTGATGTCACCGTGGTTGTTTAATATATTTATAGATGGGGTTGTAAGAGAAGTAAATGCGAGGGTCTTGGCAAGAGGCGTGGAGTTAAAAGATAAAGAATCACACACAAAGTGGGAGTTGTCACAGCTGCTCTTTGCTGATGACACTGTGCTCTTGGGAGATTCTGAAGAGAAGTTGCAGAGATTGGTGGATGAATTTGGTAGGGTGTGCAAAAGAAGAAAATTAAAGGTGAATACAGGAAAGAGTAAGGTTATGAGGATAACAAAAGGATTAGGTGATGAAAGATTGAATATCAGATTGGAGGGAGAGAGTATGGAGGAGGTGAACGTATTCAGATATTTGGGAGTGGACGTGTCAGCGGATGGGTCTATGAAAGATGAGGTGAATCATAGAATTGATGATGGAAAAAGAGTGAGTGGTGCACTTAGGAGTCTGTGGAGACAAAGAACTTTGTCCTTGGAGGCAAAGAGGGGAATGTATGAGAGTATAGTTTTACCAACGCTCTTATATGGGTGTGAAGCGTGGGTGATGAATGTTGCAGCGAGGAGAAGGCTGGAGGCAGTGGAGATGTCATGTCTGAGGGCAATGTGTGGTGTGAATATAATGCAGAGAATTCGTAGTTTGGAAGTTAGGAGGAGGTGCGGGATTACCAAAACTGTTGTCCAGAGGGCTGAGGAAGGGTTGTTGAGGTGGTTCGGACATGTAGAGAGAATGGAGCGAAACAGAATGACTTCAAGAGTGTATCAGTCTGTAGTGGAAGGAAGGCGGGGTAGGGGTCGGCCTAGGAAGGGTTGGAGGGAGGGGGTAAAGGAGGTTTTGTGTGCGAGGGGCTTGGACTTCCAGCAGGCATGCGTGAGCGTGTTTGATAGGAGTGAATGGAGACAAATGGTTTTTAATACTTGACGTGCTGTTGGAGTGTGAGCAAAGTAACATTTATGAAGGGATTCAGGGAAACCGGCAGGCCGGACTTGAGTCCTGGAGATGGGAAGTACAGTGCCTGCACTCTGAAGGAGGGGTGTTAATGTTGCAGTTTAAAAACTGTAGTGTAAAGCACCCTTCTGGCAAGACAGTGATGGAGTGAATGATGGTGAAAGTTTTTCTTTTTCGGGCCACCCTGCCTTGGTGGGAATCGGCCGGTGTGATAATAAAAAAAAAATAAAATAAAAGAAATATTGTGAAGTAGATTAGTCCATTTCAGACCCCCAAACATACACGTACAAACGCACTTACATAAATACACTTACATAATTGGTCGCATTCGGAGGTAATCGTTATGCGGGGGTCCACTGTATTCTATTATGCCTAACAATGTTTTATTACATTTAAACCACATTATTTTTGTGCTGCATAAAAAGAAAGAAAAATCTGAGCTTGAATATACAGTGGACCCCCAGTTAACGATATTTTTTCATTCCAGAAGTATGTTCAGGTGCCAGTACTGACCGAATTTGTTCCCATAAGGAATATTGTAAAGTAGATTAGTCCATTTCAGACCCCCAAACATACACGTACAAACGCACTTACATAAATACACTTACATAATTGGTCGCATTGGGAGGTGATCGTTAAGCGGGGGTCCACTGTACGTACATATTTAATATGCGACAGTTTTTAGTACCATCGAAGTAGATCTTGATGCATTCTTCCTCCAGGAGAGACAGCAGACAACAAGAGTCAGGAGTGCATGGGGTCAGGCAGCAAGAGTGCCTCCACTGATGCCAAGACCCAGCACAAGGTGCCCAAGACCACACGCTGGATAGTCTGCCCAACCTTCAAGGAGATTCAGAGAGTCTTAAAAATACCTCAGAGTAAGTCGAGCTTTCAGAAAATTGTACAGGAAATCTGTAAATGTTGTGTAGAAAGTTTTCACTTGCTCTCTCTCTCTCTTATTTATTCTCTTAAATATTTTCGTTTTAATTCACTGACCATGAATACCCTTTAAGGTAGAGTCTGGTAAAGGGCTCTGATCCAAGGAATTGCAGTTACTCTCATCTTCAAGATCTGATTACAGTAAGCTCTCATTTAACCCTTAAGCTGTCCAAACGTAGATCTATGTTTACATGCTTAGAGCTCCGATCTTGATTTTCTCCATTTGAAAGCATGTAAAAGAAAATGTAGGTCATGTTCGGAGCGCTACAACACGAGTGAACGTAATCTACGGTTGGACAGTTTAAGGGTTAAAAACCCAAATAACAACACCCCTCCACCCCCTCCGTAGAGTGGGATTTTTTTGTAAATGTAATTCCTCTAATGGGAGGTAACTTGACGCTAGTGAGGGGCTCTTGTTCTAGGGAATTGGATCTGTGCTCCAGTTCCCTGAACTGAGCCTGAATACCTTCCATCCCCCCCACACGCATTGTATAATCCCTACAGGTTTAGCGCTCCCCCATAATAATAATAACAATAATAATAATAATAATAATAATAATAATAATAATAATAATAATAATAATAATGTAAATGTGCTTGAAAAAGTACATCATAATTTTAAGAGAGCAGAAACATAAACAAAATTAACTTAATTTCTATAACATGGAGTGTATTATATAATTATGGTGATTGATATATACAGTACAGTAGGCCCCACTTACACGGCAGGTTAGGTTCCAGGCTACCGCCGGAAAGCGGACATCGCCAGAAAACAACACCATTTTGTCCACTTATAAATGTATATAAATGCCAGACAAGAACTAGGCATTAAAAAACAATAAAAGTAAAATACACAAGCAGTACACTCATTATTTACCTTAAAATATTTGTAGTCTTCATGTAAGGTGAGAGGTGAATGCTATTTATTTTTAGGAAGTCGGGTGTGAGAGGTATAGTAGGCAGCCATGCCAGGCCTCCCCACCTACACATAATACGTATATGTACTACAATATTTAAGCACCCAAGAGCGGTAAAATGCATATTCAGTACACTCATTACTTAACTTAAAATATTTATAGCCTTAATGAAGGTTGAGAGGTGGAAAAACGAGGTAAAACGAATAAACGAGAGAGAGAGAGAGAACAAGTAAATGAGAGAGGACAGAGATGTAGAGATGATGTTTATATGTTACATAGCATGTTTATTATATAGTTTTGAAAAAAATATCTTTAATGGATTAATGAATGTTTATATTAACCCTTTCACTGTCGAGACCCCTGCTCACAAGCCTGCTCATAAGCCTGCTCACAAGCCTGCTCACAAGCCTGCTCACAAGCCTGCTCACAAGCCTGCTCACAAGCTCTCACTGTTGAAGAATTTTCAAAGAAAAAAAAAGTATTTTTTGTTATGAAATTATAGAGGATCTTTTCCCGATGGTAATGACACCAAAAGTACAATACAGTGGAGCCCCGGTATTCGATATTAATCCGTTCCTGAGAGCTCATTGAATACCGAAAATATTGAAAAGCGAATCAATTTTCCTCATAAGAAATAATGGAAATCAAATTATTCCGTGCAAGACACCCAAAAGTATGAAAAAAAATTTTACCACATGAAATATTAAGTTTAATGCAATAGAATAATTACAATAACAATAGAATAATTGACACTTACCTTTAATGAAGATCTGGTGATGATTGGATGGGAATGGGAGGAGGGAGGAGGTGTTAGTGATTAGAAGTGGGAAAATCCCCTTCCATTAGGACTGAGGTAGCAAGTCCTATTTCCGGGGTTACATCCCTTCTTCTTTTTAAATGCCACTAGGGACCAGCTTGAGGAGTCACTGGACATTCTGTCGCACAACATATCTGTTCCATAGTGGCCTGTACCTCCCATTCCTTTATGACATTCCTAAGTGTTTCACAACATTGAGTCATTGTAATAGTCACCAGCACGGCTTGCAATAACTGTGTTAGTGTGATTGTCATCAAAAAAGGGTTGCACTTTAAGCCACTATTGCACACGATTTCCTTAATCTTTGAAGTAGGCAACTTCTTCAATTTCTCTATCCCCTCCTCCGAATGCAGTTTCCTCAGGTGTGCCTCTTGCTGTTGAAGATGATCTAGCAGCTCACAGTGTTAGTTTCTTCCACTGGCCTCCTCCACCCATCTCTTCCACATCCTCCCCACTAACCTCCAACCCCAAGGACTTCCCCATTGCCACAATGATCCCTCAACTGGCATAATAGGCTTCTCAGGGTTAGCCCTCAAACCCTTCAAATCCTTTTGTCTACACATTCTGGCCACATTTTTTTCCAAGCTGTGTTCAAGGGGGTTCCCCCCCCCCCCCCCTTATCACTCCCTCCCAAGCCCTTACCTATAAGGTTTATACAATTTTTAGATATTAAAGTGATCCTTCCAAAACTCCCTATAGTGTCAGTTGAGTTTTTCTTTGGTCACTATAAAGTCACTTTTTTGAAACATAGCTTTTGTGTACAGTTCTTGAAGTTGGAAAATGGACCTGCTGGGTCATGTGCGTGCAGGGAGGAGAGGTATTATAGGCAAAACTTTGACCTTAATTAATGAAGCCATGTCCCCAGAAGTCGCTCTGCCAAGTCTGTAGGATGACCAGGGGCATTGTCTAACTCCAGTAGGCACTTAAGGTCTGATTCCTTTCAATTAAGGTAATTTTCACACAATGGGGGCAAATGCATGGTGTAACCAGTCAAGAAAAAGTCCCTAGTGACCCATGCCTTACTGTTTGCCCTCCACAGCACACACATAATTAGCCTTGACGACATTGTTTTTCCTCCTGAACGATCTGGATTTTCAGAGTGATACACCAATAAAGGCTTCACTTTGCAGGTCACTCACTAGCATTGGCACACATCATTAGAGTAGCCTGTCTTTCATAGGCTTTATGTCCTGGGAGTGCCTTTTCCTCCTGAGAAATGTAGGTCCTGCTTGGCATTTTCTTTTCAAAACAGCCTGTTTCGTCATCAATTAAACACTTGTTCATGTTTTCAAGTCTCACTGTCATGTAATTCTTGAATTCTTCACATATTTTTCCAGCTGCTTTTTGGTCAGAACTGGGCAGCCTCAACCCAAATGCCTAATCACACTATGTATGCCACTACGATTCTTAACTCTTTCAAACCATACCTTTGCTGGCAATTAAATTCACTCACATCATCACAAGTTACAGAGGCCAATTTCTTAACCAAATTGTCATCAACTCTAGCCTTCTTCACAAATGAATCGCTTGAGAGATGCATTTCCTGCTAATCTGTTTTTCAATTTATCCAACACCAATAACACTCTCAGTCAACATTTTCTCCTAAACAATTGCGGTTGCTGTTCCGTATCACAGTTGCACCTTTGCAAGAACAGCTTCCTTGATTGCCGTTTTCCTGGTCACTTATAGTAGAGATGGTTTGATTGGGGTTTACTATACAACCTGACACAGCTCCGACACACGCACTCCACTTCGTATTTGCAATTAATCTCTTTCTTCATTTCAATATCCCCATTAGCACCATTTTTTCTTGAAGGGTGGCACTAGAAAGCTTTCTTGGGCCCATGTGACTTCCTTTGCAGAAACAAGCACCAAAAACAGTGATAATATGGATAATATGGAATGTACCGAATGTATCCTTAGATATGCGCACACTGGCTGGCTTGTAAACACTGGCACACACGGGGCAGTTCAGGCCACACGTGGACACGTCTCGTACGAATCACATCGAATACCGGATTTTCGATTGGATACCGAGGCAAAATTTTTGCGATATAATGCATTGAATACCGGATTTATCGAATACCGATGCCATCGAATACCGGGGGTCCACTGTATTTGATGGAAATCTTATGGAAATTTGCTCTTGTGAAGTTAGCGGCCTCAGCGATATTTACCCATCGGCGATTTCACCCAATTTGAGAGCAATTTTCGACCAATTCCATCGTTCCAGTCAACCAAACTCATAGCTATTTCGCTAGGACTCCATTTGTTCTATCGACTGAGCACAAGAAACTACATATTTACTGATTTCAACTACCCAATAAAGTGATAAGAATTTGGTAATTTGGCCAATTTCATACACAATTCAAGTAAGGTCAATTTCAAAATAGGGTCCAGAATAAACAATGCAGATATTACATGCCTCCAGGTCACTCGTATATTACACATGCTCTTATGTTACACTTGCTTTCACACAAAAAATAGATTTACTATTGTGCATACTACTGCATTATTGTAAAAATGGTATAAATTATATCAGCGCATTTGTAAAAGCATATTAGACCCACCAGTTGACATGTAATGACGTGATTTGTTTCCTCTTAAACATCGGCAAAAATCGAACATTTTTGCTACTTTAAGCTCAATTTCAATGTACTTTTTGTCTGTAAACCCTTCAAAATCATCTCTATTTCTGTAATATGTATTCCATTCTATGAAATGAGACCAGGAAAATGAGAATACAACCATAAATACCATACAAAAATATACCACAAATTTGGTGTTTTAAACCAAAAACACAGTCGGAGTTTTTTTTCCTTATGTACTGCATGCTGCAGGATTTTTTTTATACTGCACACACTGACCACTCAGACCCATTCTCATATGTAGGCCTACCAGCTTTCTCCCACAAGATTGGAAGCCACTATAATTTTGGCATAATATTAGGGGACTGACATTGGCTTGAAGCCATAATATTACTGGACCGACAGTGAAAGGGTTAATGTAATATATACCTCAGAGTGATTATTATTGCATGTTATTATAATTATCATTATCAACCCTTTCAGGGTTTCGGATGTACTAGTACGGCTTACGCACCAGGGTTTTTGACGTACTACTAGTACGCCTAAATTCTAGCGTCCTCAAATCTAGTGAGAGAAAGCTGGTAAGCCTACATATGAAAGAATGGGTCTATGTGGTCAGTGTGCGCAGTATAAAAAAAATCCTGCAGAACACAGTGCATAATGAGAAAAAAAAAACTTTGACCGTGTTTTTGGATTAAAACAGCGACTTTGCACTGTATTTTCGTATGGTATTTATTGTTGTATTCTAGTTTTCCTGGTCTCATTTTATAGAATGGAAGACATACTACAGAAATTGAGATGATTTTGACTGGTTTTACAATGAAA